GTGGGCTTTCCCTGCTGCCCAGGCCCCCACCTTCGCCCCTGGGTCAGCCCCGCGGGGTCCGGGACCTGCACCCTCCCCCGGTCCCGCAGACCATCGGGCCTCCTGCGCAGCCAGGAATCGTCAGCTACATTCCTGTGCGTCCACCATGGCCCTAAGGGAAGGTGGGGACACCCTAGCCACGTCCGTCCTTCTTGCTTCCCTAGCCCCGAGAGCTCCTGGCTCCCGGGGCAGCAGGTTGGGTGACAGCTCGGGGTCCCTGCGTCTTGTCTCCGCAGCTGGGCTTCGAGGATGTGATCGCAGAGCCGGTGACTACGCACTCCTTTGACAAAGTGTGGGTCTGCAGCCATGCCCTCTTTGAAATCAGCAAATACGTGATGTACAAGTTTCTGACGGTGTTCCTGGCCATCCCCCTGGCCTTCGCTGCTGGAATTCTCTTTGCCACTCTCAGCTGTCTGCACATCTGGTGAGAAGGGGCACCCCGGGGTGCACAGGCTCTCTCAAACGTAGGAATGTTTTTTGCCACCTGCCCCCCGCCCTCCCCTTCTCCCAGGCTGGTTGCAGGGGGAGGAACAGGTATCAGTTTCCCGAGCAGTAGCCAGAACTGGAAGGCCTTGAAAGGCAGTTTGCTTCCTTTAGAATAATAGCTTGGGTTAGGACTTTAAACAGAAGATTTTCCCTTCTTCCTGGGGTGTGATTTTCCTTCACATACATAAGGCTGAGCTGAGCTGGAGGTGAAGATCTGGAGGCCATGCTGCCTGCCTCAGGCTGCTCTCTCAGAGCCCTGTTAAGACTTGTGCCTGTGGTTCTGGGCAGGGCTCTTCTTTCTTCCATTACCTTTTATTCAGTCACCACCTGTGCTTGGGGTAAAAACAAAAGTGATCTCCCAACAGAACGCCACTGACAATATAATTGGACAGGACCGTCAGACCTGGTTAAGCAGCTCTGTGCAGCAGTCTCTCCAATCCTGCCACTGGCCAATGGCAAGGATGGGACCAGAGGATGGGAGGTGTGTCCAATTAAGGCGAGGGACACCCCCCACCCCCAGCACAAATGAATGAAAACTTAAGCTTCAGGTTAAGGAAATGAGAAGGCCTTCAAATTATTTTTTCACCTATGAGGCCCAAATGGGAGTGGCATCTAGTTACAGGGAAAAGAAATATGGAAACCCATTGGACATTGACAGGACATTCTGAGTAACTTCACTTACACTAAAATGCATCAAAAAAAACTTTGAAGAACATTTTTAAGCATTTAAAGTTTTTTTAAGGAAAATGTCACATTTTACCTAGAAGTTTTGTTGTTATTTTGTGAAAGAATATCCACTCTATTCTGAGAGGAAAAACACTGAGATCATCCCCAGTATCAAACAGTTGTCAGTCTAGTGCTGCAGGGCAGTCCTGGTAAAATGCATAACCCCGATGCCTCTATGTCTTTCTTAACCACTTTGTTTGATATTGCCGCACCCGGATGCATGGTCAGTGTTCATTGTTAGAAGTTACCAGATTATTCTTAATTCCTCTTTACCATCTGAATCTTAATTTCTTTAGTCAGTTATCTAGCCAGTTAGTTCAACAAACTAAGTTTATTGAGTGCTTAGTTTGTGCTTGGCACTGGGCCCAGGATAAACAAGACAGAGGATCTACCTTGCTTACTCACAGTACATCAGGGCAGCTGGCTAGGTGCAGAGGTAGATGCTAAGAAAACGCAGTCAACTGTGACATACAGGGAGAAAAAGAGATGTCTCTGTAGAGGGAAAGGGATCTAAAAAGACTTTTAGAGAATAAATAGAAATTCACCAAATAAGTAAAGGATAAACAAAGAACACAGATTTAATTTGGTCACTAAAGGTTGTAAATGATTAAACTATGTTGAAAGTGCCAAAAGATTGCCAGAGAAATAAAAATCTTTGCCTTTATGCATGATCAGATCCACAAAGGTCAGACGTATAGTTATCTCATAATCTGACATTCACACATGGATTTTTTTTTAACATGACCTAAGTCAGCACATAAAATTTGGGATTCCTAATTAACTAAAACTAGTTATCTAACCTCCATGTCAGTTTTCTCACTTTCAAAAATGTGAAAAACTGAGCAACCACATAGCATATTATAAAATGCTGCTCTGCAGCTATTTGGAAGTATAGAGTTCCATATTTACAGTCAACAAAGCTAGGCTTTCCCAAAGCTTTTGTGAAAGAACTGGAAAAAAATTTTTTTCATTTACTAAATGGTGGAAAGATATAAGTAAAACAACAATTAACCAAACGATGCTTCTCTCCATCTGGTTTACCTGAGAATGGGAGGTGTTTTTGTGGAGTGCTTCCATTGGTGAATCATCAACCCATTTTTTTTTTTTTTTAGCCACAGAAAATGTATTATTTAACTTCAGCTTGTTTTTCAAATTACATTCATGTGAGACATTAATATTTAATTGTCATACATTTGTCATCAGGCAGCTGTGATTGCAAGTAGAGGGGTCATTTCAAACAAAAATGTTTAAAAGTTAATTTGTGCCTTGATAAAATAAGTTCATTGCTAATAGATGGCATTCCCATGACACAATAAGACCAGATCAAGGACAGGCAGTGGTGGTGACCAAAGCTATGAAAAAATGCAGAGTGGAACTTTGATTCACAGTCACAATGTCACAGCAGATCTTTTATTCTTTCTAGATTCTTAATACAAATAAATAACAACAACAACAACAAAAACAAAACAGAAGTCTGGGGATGTTGGACCCTATACACAACAGTTCATTAGGCACCAATGAATTGGATTGATTATACATCACAGTCAGACACAGATAGACACCATTTGGCAAATGCAGGTTACTGGTCAGAAGTGGATCATAACCAAAGAAATGTGACTGGAGCACATGTACCCCTTATTTTTGCCGGGATGCGATGCAAATAGATGTCCAACTGATGGAAATTCAGTAGCAGCAATCTCATTTCCAGAAGATGTTTTTAAAACAGTGAATTGCTTTGCCAATGCAATCTTCATGACACTATAGTTAACACAAAGCTAAATAGAAGTCTTTGTCCAAGGGCTTTATTATCCAATGGAGAAATATGTAATCTTATAAATTACAAAATTTATTTAAGAAGTGTTTGGTTGGCCACATTGAGCCTCAACCAAATTTTGGATCATTCCAAATTGCCTGGAGCAGCAGAAGGGAAACTATTTGTGATGTTGAGGAAACAGCGTAAGTTTGGTATCAGAGGATCTGTGGGTTCTCTGCTCCAAAATGAGAGAACAGCAACTTAAAGAAAAAAAAATTTTAAATGAGTTCACCACACCCTATGAACCAAAGTTCTCAAATGTGGGCAACTGTACTTTGCTGAACTGGAAAATCCATTTTTTTCATGTGCTTAATTCCCTTTTAGGAGATGGAAATCTCAGCAGTTATGAGGATAGAAAATTTCTTAGCCTATGGAAGAGTGGAAAATGCGTTATGTTTTAAGTGAAATGGATGGGTTAGGAAACTTTCAATCTAAACTTCAGTCTTGTAGTGATCAATGTGATGTTATTTTGTTATAATTGTTTTCATTATATATCTAACTTCAAAATGGATCTGTTTATTATTCATCATAATGACAGCATCATATGGACATTTCAGGGGCGTGCAATAAGTGTTACTTCTGATAGCCAATTCTGTAAGATTTCCTGTTCTCACTTTAATTTGTAGCAATGTGCTACAAGTGAGAAATATAATGGAATAAAACATCAAAAATTGCCATCATTCAGATTTCTATTCAACTATTTCACTCTAAAACACCCAGTAATTAATTTTATTAAAAGAGTGTTTCAGTTACTTAGCACTTGGAACAAAACACAAAATAAATATAATCTGTGTAGACATCAATATGAATAATTCTATATTCTGAAAATATATCAATCAGACAGTTAACTGATCTTTCCTTCACTTAGGGCTAAGTAGACCTCTATTTAAGTCATATTTTAATAGCAAACCAAGAAAATCAACCTTACTTCCTTGTGCTAACCCAGGTCATAATGAAGATTGAGGTTACCAGCAATGCCTACGAGTTTTTGTGCTCAAACAGCACCACTACAATAGAGAACAGCATTTAGATGATTACACGGAAAATTAACCAGCCTGGGGAACACAATGTGTGGTTATCTTAAGAAAAAACATACAAAAAATAATTTGAGGATAGACTAGTTTTTCTTGAGAGTTCTAACATTAATTTCAGGGTTCTTTTAACTACACCACACAGCCCTTTTCAGTGTGTGTAATTCATATGAAATATTAATAATATAAAGCATAATTCATAATATAAAGTACAGCAGAATGCTAAATTCATTTCAGCTCAAACATTTATTAAGGGTCAAGGATGTCCTCACTTAAAGAACTTACATTCTAGTAGGAAAGAGAAATCTGAGCATCCTATTTATGATACCTTTTAGAAAATCTGAGGATTAAGAAGTTTGTTTCAGAACTTTAGAAGCTCAAAGAGGGAGTATCCAATCCAGCCTGGTCCAGGAAGGAGGGAAGAGGAATGAGTTAACAGGAAAGGCTGTCAGGAAGTAGAATCTCAGAGAAATATGAAGAGTTAGGTAGGTTAATGTTTAGTGGTAGAGCTTGGGTAGACAATATACTGTTTTGTTTATTTTTGTTTTACTGTTTCAGATAGCGTGCCACTAGTAGAAAAAATATTAGTATTTATCATCTACATGCCTGAATATTTTGTAAGCAACTTATCTCTTATGCATCTTATCACTATAGTGGTCGTTGTTCATTTGTTTCAAGTGTTCAACCAAATTTAAGTGAATTAGGTCATTACTATATCTTTTCATGCACGGAAAAGAATCAATGGTCTCATTTGCTAACACCAATAATCCTTACACATCAATGTTCCTTCATTCCAGGATTTTAATGCCTTTTGTAAAGACCTGCCTAATGGTCCTGCCTTCAGTGCAGACAATATGGAAGAGTGTGACAGATGTTGTCATTGCTCCGTTGTGTACAAGCGTAGGACGAACGTTCTCTTCTGTCAGCCTGCAACTGAGCCACGACTGAACACTTGGACCCAGGTCTGGAGATTTGGATACTGTAACACTTCCTTGTTGTAACATACAAGTGCTACTGTTCTACTCATTTCCCAACTGTTCTAATTAAGAAAACTATTAAAATGGGCAACCACACTTAGAAATGTTTATTGGCAGAGCTTTTCAAATAATGTTTTTCACATTAATAGCTAAAGATTTAATATCTAACTTTATAACTAGAATTATACAGTAGGTTGAAAACATTTCATTTTAAAGACAAATAATTTTTGCTTTAGTACAAAAGTATACATTTTATAATGATGAATTTATATTGATTGAGGGACACTGCTCCCAGAAAACAATAGTTTTGTGCACAATTGCTCATAAAAATGTGGGATTGTTTTTTAGTCTGGGAGTAATACTTTTTAAATTACCTTTACAGTTATAATCATGGGACATTTAGAGATAGGCTACACAAAGATCTTAGAAATTGCTGTTACAGAAGCACACAGTGATGACAGTAACTATCAAATATAATAAACAAATGTGAAAATAGAATCATGAAAATGTATTCTTTTAAGGTATTGTTAACCTACAGGCCTATTTAACAAGATGTTTCATTTTACTGTATATTTTGTACTTAATGTAAATGTTGCTCTAATCAGATTGCTTTAAAGCATTTTAATTATATTTGTTATCTTGTTGAACTAATATATAGTGTGAGTAAATGTATCTCTCACGAAGTAACTTTATTGGTAAGATGACACTTTCTTGATTATGTAAGCATTTATATATCATCTTTGAGAACAGAACATAAGAGGGTTATATACAAGGCTTTCCTTTCTAACTTCTCTAAGCAAAATCCTGAAAGTTTTGACTGATGTTTATCTGGCTTTGATCTTAAAATAATTCATACCTAATTGGTATTTCATCTAGGAGATGCTTTCTCTCTTGCAGTTAAACATTAAACCTGTATTCTGTGTTCCTATTAATGTTCCACTTTACTTTCAAGTAATATTGGTGCTATTTAATGACATCTTATAATAAAAGCTATTTCTGACACAAATACAATTTCAACTATAGTGATTCATGTAGAGAGACTTACAGGAGAGTCAACTTGTTAGGTTCATGCAACTGAGCTACACGCATAAATTGAAAACTAACAGTTAGAAACGTTTAAGATATTCTCTAATATAGATTTTCTAAAATAGTATATAGTAATTCTTATCATTTTTGAGTTGCAGAGTTCTATTTCAGGGTTTTGAGGCTCTACTGCTTTAAAAATCTCATTATTCCAAAATGATAGATGTGTATAAAACATGGCTATGATTTCAGTAGTTGCTATAATGTACACATCTCAAAAGTGTTTAAAATGCTCAAATTACAGAACGACCATCAGAACCTGAGTTAACATTCCTTTGAATATCCTCATAAGTGGCAACTCTTCATTCAGTGAAGATTAATAAGATATTTCAAAATTGCCAGGACCGGTAAATATAAAGGATGATTGAACTGGAATATTATTGGGAACCAAATTAAGTGTGTGACTGAATTATGAAGCTCATACCCTTTTGAAGGTAGTTAACAGAGACATTTTTAAACTCCATTGGGCCATATCCTTGGAGAGACTCTCATGATCATTACCTTAAAGCATTGCCACTCATTTGACTGTGTGGATCTTACTATCTTAGTTAAAAAGGTCAATCAGTCTCATGACTTTATACTTATACTTTGTGTTTAAAATGGTTTTTTTTTTAAACATTTGGATATTTTGATAAGTCAAAAGTATTTGATTAATAAAATATCTATTCTAATAAATCATGAGCTTCTATCATTTCATATAGCTATTGGCAAGTTTTTAAGCCAAAATATATATACATAGTCACATAACAAAACCTTTTAACCTCTAACAAGTGATACATATCATTTCATTATTTCTGAACACTACTGATTACTTTCAAAATGAATTTTTATTGAAATCTTCCATTAATTATTTTATTTTAAAGACTCAAATTTTGTGCCAAGTGAATCCAGGTTTTATATGCAAACAGGCTGGTTCTTTATTTGGAGCAGAGGGAAGTAGATGATGAGTAAACTTCTTCATTATTCATAATAAACTTTTTTAAACCGATAAATGTGTTCATTGCTTTTATTACATGAAGTATGAAACTGATCAATAAGAACTTTTTAAAGCTAATCTTTACCTTATTAAAAAGTCAAAATAGGTCATAAGTATATGAGTTATTGCTTATTCAGGAATATACTTGTGGAAAATTATGAGACTGGTACTTTAATTCTTTGTTTTGCTATCACTTAAAGAGGATCCATATGAATTTTTCTATTATTTGATAAATAGTATGAAATAGCTTGTTCACAAGCCCATCATACTTTATCTTCTTTATAAAGTCTCTTTTTGGTAATCCTAAATAAACTAAAATTTCTGTTTTCAATTTTTTTAAATAAGACAATATAAATCACATGTACTTGGATACCTGTACCAAGAAGCCACATTAGAGTACAAAATTATTTTTGGAAAGTGAGTATGTGAAGAGTAGTTGCTGATATTGGCATAGATTTTCTTGTCGGTTAATCTAGGAAAATGACCAACCTCTAATAATAAAGCAGATGTTTGGCATTTTTACATGTTCTTTATAGTTTTGAAGAACTCTGAAAGTCTCTCTTTTTGATATTCATTTACAATCATTAATTTATTACATATCATTAATTTATTTCAACACCTTTCTTGGGACGCTGTTGGACTATTGTGAAAAAATCAGGCATCTGGATTCCAGTCTCGGCACTATCATTACAGGAGCATATCACCTCCTGCAAATGGTTTGATCTCTGGGTCGCAGTTTTATCTTTAATGAAAGAATTGGACCAAATGATCTCTCGGGAGCTTCCCATGTCATTGTTTTCTATGACTTCAGGAAGATGAAGTCTTGGCTATGTATATGAAAACCAATCTAGCTATTCAGTCCAAGAATTTTTTAAATCAGTGAATTTTCTATCTGTTACAGGGTTGGTGTACTATAAATACAATAATTAATGCATGCACTTTTCACTCTTCCATTGATTGTGAGACTATGTATGTGCCTTTGATTCTTCATGGCAGGGATTCTTAGATTTTATCAATTCTTAGTCATTATTATTTTCTCCAAACATAACCTGTTACTCTATAATTTCAGTTAATTAGAATTTATTTTACTTGAAGATTTTCTACCAAAATCACTGCTATACCACCATAATTATCACCATCATCATCTTTTGCCTGGCTGTGTGCCACAGACTCCTAGCTGACGTCCCTCCCTACCTTCAGTATCATCTCCTACAATCCATCTTTCTCTTTTAAAAAGTGATCATGTTAAGACTATGTCATTTCCCTGCTTAAAACTAACGATTGTATGTAATTTCCCTTACAAAAATAATACAAACTCTTGAGGAACATATACAAGGCCTTCTCTGTTAACCCACTGGCATCTTGAGCTACTCTGTGACCCCACTGACCAGCCTGTGCGGCTCCTGTGTACCCCACTCTCCCCTGCTCCATACCAGCATGACTCTTCCACCCATGGCCTGCCTGACTCCTACCTGTTTCCAAAACTCCTCCACATCAAGTGCCTCTCCTATGTCTTCATATAAAATCTTGTACAAACTCCTATTATCACTTACCACACTGGAAAAGTAACCTTGTTAACTAACCCCACTAGACCGCTAGTTAGGTCTCTGAGAACCAAAACATGACTTCATCTTTGTTTCTGGGGAATTTGAAATGATGCCCAGCACTTCATGAGCTCAATCAATATTTTCCGAATGAATGACTACATGAGTAAATAACTGAAGAAAACTTGGGATAATTGCAGGACAAGGAGTGGGAATTACACATCAACTTCATAAAATTCTTCATTTGCAAAAGGGGTTTGAAATGTACTGATTCTAAAAAAAAATTTCTTCTCACCATTTTCTCATTCATGGATCTTTAAATTGGGAAAACCAAAACTTATGTAAGGTATATCATGTGTATTTCATCCTTTGAGAAAATGCCTGTCTTTAGCCAGATTCCCTTATCTGAAATTAATTTTCAAATCTCCTGGGGTAGGAAACTCTAGCACTTAGAAACTTGCTTGGAAACATGCTTTCATGCTTTTTAGAATGTTGGTATTTCTTTTACCATCCCATTTCCCGTTTCAAAATGTATAATAATGAAACATTGTTTCTATAGAGTTTTACATATAAGAAAACACAGTCTCATGTATTATCTCATTTGAATCCTAGGACAAATTAAATAGCATAATGGAGTTTCTTTAGCTTGCAACTTTATCATTTTAGAGTGTTTGTTTAAGATAAGAGCTTATAAAATTTTTGCAGGGTTACACATTAAGAAAATTTTTAAAAATGAAAGTAGAGCTGCAATGAAAAATAACCACAGCTCATGCCCCTTAGCAAAGCAAGTAAGAATTTGGTATTCTTCCTGTTCCAGGTGTATACACATGTGTAGGAATGACAGGGGAAGGAGTTGTTTGTTGGCAGCGGAGAGGGCAAAGGATATGGGTATATTAGATATTCTGGTTATTTTTAAGGAATAAAACTAATTTTGGCTTTCCTAATCTAATCCCAATTTCCTCAATTTATTCACCCATAATAGCAAAATGAGCATAATAAGGCACCCCTTGTATTTTTAAGTCATTTTTGTGCCCACTGTCCAGCTTCTTTCTTTGGATTATATCTGAGATGCTGCCATGGGAACCTTATGCCTTGATGCTTTTTAAGTGAAAAATGCCCTTGAGTGGGGTAACACTTCAGTTGATTAGCAGTCATCCATTACATTAGTGTGAATGAATGATCTGAGAAGGGTATTGAAAACTACATAAGGGACCCGAGCATAAGGGCCCTGAGCACCGTAAGAGAGCACCACACAGTGATTAAAAGAGATGCCACCAAAGAGAAAGCTGGGACAGAAAAGAGAAAACAGGAGGCTCGAATGATGTGACCTTCACCCTTCACAGTGTTGCTTTGGACACCCCTGCCCCAAATCCTCAGTGAAGGGGACGATGGAAACTGAACAGGGGTGGAGGGAGTTGAAGTCAGCTAAAGACTTCTCTTTTTTCCCACAAAGGAAAGTTGCTTTTGTCTTACTGAATGAATAGGACCCTAGGAGGGGGCATGCGGGCGCTGCTGGAACCATGTGCCCTAAAGACAGTGCAGCAAAGCAAAACCGAAAATGAAAACTGAACTGTAACTTGTGACCATCTGTGTCTCTTTCTCCTCGCTTCTGTCTGTGGTCGGCTGTTGTGATGTGTCCGTGGAAAGAAAGAAGACCATGCAGCAGTCAGAGAAATCAGAAGACACCACTTCAACAATTATCCAAAAATAGGCCAGGGACACCTATCTGCCCACACTTGGACGTGTTAGGTCATCTGCTTGGCTGCACGGCTGGAGAAGTCATTTTGCCATTATAGGAAAAGGTAGGGGTGGAGAATGATAAGAGAAAGGAAGAGACATGACTCAGAGTGGGAAACAGCACGTAGCCAAGGGCAAATGCTTCTCTCAGACATAAATGGATCAGGAAGAGATGAGAGCAACAGGTCATCTTTGGTGCATTCTTTTCTTTCCCTGACTCTCAGTCTCTTGTCACCCAGCACCGATCAGTAACAAAAGGGGAGAGAAGGGCACTAAGCAGGACCTGCTTCTCTAACTGAATGGCACATCAGTTCCAGCCAGCTGCTGTCTCAGCTAACTGGGACAGTGAAACAAGGAGTCATTTGGAAGTTGCAGGAATGGGCACACCACATCCCAGTGAGGCAAGTGGCAAGGATTCACATGTTTATTTTACTGAGCAGGAACTGGGTGGAATCCTGTATTGATTACACAGCTGGGAGAATTCTGGTCTCAGTACAAGCAACGATAGGAGCAGTTACACTTGTTGAGCACTTACTACCTTCTGGCCACTTATTTACTCTTCATAATAACCCTGTGATGTGGATTCTACTATCATCCCCATTTTTCAGATGATGGAACTGATGCCTTGAAGTGGAAGAATATGCCCCAGACCATACTGGAAGTCAGGGTTTGAGCCAAGAAGGTATGACACCACAGTGCACACTCTTCATCACTCTGAGGATGATTTTCTCCTTCTCCTGGAATGTATGCATGACTATTCTAATGACTTGTGCTCCCTTCCAGCCAAAATCTTCTTTTTCATTCATCATTCTGTTGTGTCACCTTTCCTGCTCTGAGAAGCACCTTTCCTTTACTCTCCCATCACTGGAGTAAGTTCCACGTCCTCAGTGGTAAGAACTCCCCCAAGCTAGCATCTGGGCTTCCTGCTCCCTCCCCACTCTGCCCCCTTCTGATCCCCGAATCCCTCCCCCAGACCTAAACCCTGCTTTCCCAGGCATGCCCTTTCTTTCCCTTTACCATCTGAGCTCTAGACTTTATTTTCCAGCTAATGTCAGAAAAACATTTTCCAAATGCCGTTATTCCCATCTTTTGTAAATTTCATAAAATATTACTGCCCTCCTCCAGACTGCCCTAACATTTATCACAAGCACAGTGATGATTTTTCTCCTCAATACTAGACCCCTTGACCCATAAAATATTAATGATTACAGTAATAATTTCTGTTTAGACTAAGCATATCTTTTTCTAGGCAAAACCCACATTTTGTATCTTTCTTCATTTTGTTGGAAATTTCTTGTGAGTTTGTACATCCCTTAATATGTTATCCCAGTTACTTCATCTTGGAAATCCCAGGAGAAACCACATGTAAACTTATTTTCCTCCTACAGAATGATTTGCTTATGATAAATTTTCAAAAACAGAAAAACTGAACTATACAATCACATTAATGGCGCAGTTGTATATTGTCATACTGCTTTTCAATAAGTGTGTACAATTTGTAATTGCAAAAGTAGTGCATATTTGATAGTTTCTCTATATATTATTAGCATTTGTATGTATATATGTATATCAGTAAGATTTAATATATATATGTGTAATTTTTGCTAAGGCATTAGGGGTTAGTATAAAACATTATAGTATTCCATTTTGCGCATATAAAAGTAAGAAATTTTTTTCTGTAGTAATAATGAAGATTGTGCTTCTCACGGTCATTTTTCCCCTTTCATCTAC